AAATTGATGCAGCCATGATAGCAGCCGGGCAGGAAGGATAATTTCTATCAAAAAGATCTGCAATCTTGTACGTGGAATCTATGTTTGTTTTTCGGGCGTTGAGCGGGCCAAACTAAACATTAACGAAAAAATTCCCAGGGTGGGGATGCAGGCGTATGTACTCTTCCAGGAGAGGTTCCTGCCTAAGCTTTTCCCATGGGAGAAGCGTTAAGAAGTTATAGGATATAAGTATTTACTAGAAAGAGAATGCTTTTTAAAGTGTAATATCAAAGTGTTTGGCAGATTTGGTAGTTAATTAGGGCGGCTGCGGTAGCGACGGCACTTGCGCGGAAACAAACGCCCATGCTTGCGAATGTTAACACCCAGCTTTTGTCTTGGAGTAAAAAGTGACCCCAGAGCGCACATTGCCAATCTTTATGGTTATATCACTAGACAATTTTAATTCCGGCTGGGGCAGTGAGAAAACGTATGTAAAAATGCATTAAAGGCAGTATCCAGGCTAAATCTAACTCCCTCCGATTAGGGCCGATGCTGAATGTAGGCCCCACGAGAGGGGCATCTGTGTTGGTCCGATCTTCTGATGTTGTCTCTGAATGGAGATAAGGGGCCGAACAGTCAAAGTCCTATCAGCCCCGCCCAGATCTTATCAGATTCCGCCCGCCCATGTACTGAAAGCCGCCCGCGCCTTCAAGACAAGTATCTCAGAAATCGGGGTTTTTTTTTTGAGGGTTTTGGACTATTTGAACTTCATAACTGTAATCAGGGTAACGGAAAGGCCCCGGAATGGCAAAAACATGGGAGGCAAAATTTTGAGTAGACGCTGCCCTCAAACTTCTGTGTTCTGTGTCATTTTCTGTCACAAGGTTTCTACCAAAACTAAAACTCTTCTATTATGACATTTTGGCGGTGGTAATATCTTGAATAGGATCAAACACTACCGACATGTCTGGAATTTTCAGCAGGACTTTGCACCAGCCTGCAGCGAAAAGAAAATACTGCGATGATGTGAGATTTATCTTCAGGCCTTAATACGATCTGAGGCCATATTCATCACTGATACCTTGAAGGCAGCGTCCCACCAGACTGGAGGTATCTGGCTCGTAATGATGTGATAGTAGACCCCCTACTCAAGCGATGACTGAAGTTCGGAGCGAAAAAGGGGGTCTACCAAACCTGAAATTTGCTCCGAAAGTGGGCCGAATCTTACGGTAGGATCGGGCTAGTGCGAGGTGCACGCAAGGTAGAGACGCAGAGTCGCTGCGAGTCCCTGCACTCATGATGTGTGCGCTGTACGCACTCTGGCCCTGCAAATCGATATTGCCGTGTGGGCGGCGCTCGGCCCTACCGTAAGATTCGGCCCACTTTCGGAGCAATTTCAGGCTTGGTAGACCCCCTTTTTCGCTCCGAACTTCAGTCATCGCTTAGGAAGGGGGTCTACTATCACATCATTACGAGAGCCAGATCCCCCAGTCTGGTGGGACGCTGCCTTTATGGTCAATCCTAATCCCAGGTAGTTTTATCACTCATTATCAGCAGGCACAATCACTCATTATGAGCAGGCACAAAGTACCTTGAGGTATTTCTCAAGGTTGGTTTTACCTTGAGCAGTTACCTCAAGGTATTTAGTGCTGAAAGAAAAGTACATTAAGGTGCATTCTACCTTAAGGTGCTGATATCAATCATAATCTGTTTATCAAACGACTGCTTTTGCCTTAAGGTAAATTCTCAACAACTTCTAACCCTAGCCAGAGGCAAATTTAGAAGGATACCTTTAGAGATCTATAGACTTTCGGAAGCTGATTTTTTGCACGAGTAATGCAAACGTAGCTTAGGTCACTGTAGCAATTTTGCGAATATTGGTTGTTGACGAGGGTTATAGGGGTTGAAGGTTGTAGGGGTTGAACGATCCCAGCCCAAAATTCCTCTCTGTAATCCTACAGACTTTACAGGAGTTAACAAACGGCTCAATTGTTCTATTGAGGTGGAGGTAGTCATACAGAAGATTCATACTCTCTCGCATTATAAGCACAGTAGCACTGTTGAAATCACAAAGTCAAAGTTACTTCATGGAAGCACTTCGTTTCCGATCATCAAATCTGTAGGAAAAAAAATGCTGACGTTCAAAGCGGTTCACCCTCAATTTCGATATTCCTTAACTGCTCATCTCGAATTGCACTAACTACTAAATTGTTTATATGTATTGTTGTTAGGTGAAATTGGGCCTGGTCTTTAGCGGGTGGAAAGAGTTGACCGTTGAATACAAGAAAAAAGATGAAATGTTGCTGGCTTACCAAAATCTTATTACCTCTACTCTTCATTGTTGTACCGATGTACATATGAGCTTGAGCAGCATGTAACTCTAAGAAGTTGAAAACAGAAAACTGATTCATTTTAGCATAATCTGCCTTCACAAGCCTATGCCTGGTATCAAAAGCTCCATAAACTTCACGACTTTCCAAAAAGAGTTTCATTCTTATAAACTGGATAGATGCCAAAATATGGGTCAAAAGTAATTCGGCAAAACTTCTGCACACCTCGCAAAATTAACATTTAACATCACAAAAAACGGTAAAGCTTTTCTAACCTTGGCTGAGAAATGAAATATTATGTTGAAAATTCGAACGTTTGTCACGATATTGCTCTGCAAAAGATAAATATCTCTAGAAGGCAGGTTTCATTGTCGGAGAAAGAATTTGATTCGTCAGATAAAACCTTCAAAGCATGGGATGGTTGACTACGTAGACACACAATTCCGAAATCACTAAGTGAAACGCTTTGAACCCTAAAGGCAAGAAGTTCCTTGTGTAAATATCATGCGGATACATAAGAAGCAATTCATCGCAAGTACGTCATGCCACGCTCCCAACATACGTCAGTCCTTATCATCTCAGATAACCGCCGGGGGCAGGCGGCCATGCGAATTTTGAGCAAGCGCGCACCGGAAAAATAGTTCGTTGATTTTTTGCGGCCCGCTTGCAGAAATTTGGAAGAAAGTCGGCAAAATTAAAGACGAATGCATGAAGAACAATCGCGGTTTCTTTATGGATTAGCTGCGGCGCAGTGGCCGCATTCTCGCGGACTTTCCGCGAGAATATGCAAAAATTTCGAGGGCCGCACGTTCCTTTGTGGAGGACCGCGCAACCCCCAGGTACTTTCCGCTGAGAGAAAGTACCTCAAACTTGAGTAATTAAACCAACGGTGACACCTCTGCCACACAGAGTCTTAGAGTCCTGCGCTCGACGTACGCCCGAAAATACCTAAAAAGAGTCCGAGCGCTTGCTGAAAGTTTGGCCAGCGCTCGCTGGAAGATATTATTTGACGAGCGCTCGCAGAAAATTCTGTATTGCTGCCCGCTGGCAGAACGCGGAAGTACCGCCCGCTGAAGGTTTGGCCACGCCCCAAAATTCTGCTGACCGCCTGCAGAAAAGCGCGAGTTTGCGGACCGCCTGCCCCCGGCGATTATCTGAGATGCTAGCAAAGGTAAATCTAACCTTGAGAGAAAAACTTTGATAAATACAAAAATTATAGCTTGAGGTAAAATGTATCTGGAGGTACAGCCCAATATAAATTACATTTAGTGTTCATTCTAATATCATCATTGTAGTTGGAAGCATAGGGGATGCATTGATTAAGATCATTTCTTTTTGAGAGACTGACCAAATTTTGCCAAAAAACTTCGAAAACCCGACTATCAATAAACTCCAAAGGAAGTTGTTTAGTCGAACTGGCCTTTTTAGATAAAATGTATATCATATACAAATGGATATCCTTCGATAAGAAACATCATCTTAGTAGCTTTATATGAGAGTTAGGAAGGTTTTAGCAAATCATTTTATCCCAGGTGCTCTTTCACTTTTTTGAACGCTCATAACTCCTCGTCTACAAATTATCTGCAGATAAGAAAGGCAGATTCGAAATAGTAGTCAGACTATGTCGGATTCTCGCTACTTGCGAGAATAGTGTTGTAAGGAAAGGTGCAATTGTGAGAATGAGCGCACTGAAGCTAATGGGGCCTTCTTCATCTCCTTTTGTTGCTACACAGCTGACGCCTAATTCATTGTGCTCACTGAAGTGTAGTGAACGAATCTAAAAATGGTAAAGTGATATCATAATGGCACAAGGCAGTATTCTGCGAGATATTTTGAGGTGAAGCCAATTACGTCCCACAGTTGACAATGGGAAAGCTAAAATGGTCTGTCAGTTCATCAAGGTACATGATGTTGATGATGTCATCATAATTTTACTAAATAAACGATTTTCGGTATAAGTATCTTGTGTAATGTCCATAGTTTCCGTACCATAATTCATTCTGTTCGCGATAAAAAGTTATCACTTGCTTTGGGAATGAGGAATTGTTTACCAATAGTCTAGAAGTATGTCATCGCACATCAGTAAAGACGTTGTGTGGTCGGTGGTTTTTTTAATCTTTTTTCATAAGATTGAGTCATTTTCTTGGTAGTGTTAAAGCATCTTGTTAGACTCAGAATCTACTAGCGTTTTAGCAAACTCAAATCTTTTCAATTTGTAGATAATGATCACATTAAACCCCGATCACTAATGCCAGTAAATAATCAGTTCGATTACTCTTTCAGAAAAATTACCCTAATTTCACGCTCTAACGCACTTTTTTCTGTTTTTAAAGCGTGCCGCTCAGCCGCCTCGTTGTGTTTCGGAAAACGAGACTTCGCTGCACGATACTCTTAGGCAGTGGGTAGCACTGTATATAGTTTTTGAGCAGCGAAGTCCTTCGGTGTGTCTGCGCTGTTTGATTTTAGAAAAAAACCCTGCGTCCTATAGCGTGAAATTAGGGTACATTCTGTTATTCTTCATTTTTATAGCCCAGTAACAAAGTGCAAATATAGAAAAAATTCTACAAGTTGCTGATAAAATCGAATAAAATAGTAATGGTCAGAATGGCGCTTTTGAAAAGTCTGTCATCCACCAAACCTTATATCTCTCATATTTTTCTGGAATATCACTTCTAATGAATTCGCTTTCAGGAATCAACGCAAATAATTTGCAATTTTATCGTCATGGTATCTCTCATCCATGGAAAATCGTTTGCGAGCCTTTCATGCTCAACCACGGTGTTCTGATTGTTGGTTACGGCACCGAGAAGAACAAGCCTTACTGGATCATCAAGAATTCGTGGGGTCCAAAGTGGGGTGAGAGCGGGTATTACAGGTGAGCACTTCGCTTTTATGATTAACATGCTTGAAATGAGAACAGAGGTTTAGGCTTTACCGAGGTAAGAACGTGTGCGGCGTGCAAGAGATGGCCACTTCTGCTGTTATTAACTGAATTTGATACGTCTTGTGTCCGATTTACATTGTTTTGTTTGTCTACTTCTCTAGAAACTGTCATTGCCTAAACAATAAATACAAATGCTCAGTGTAAACACTCTTTGTTCTTTGAGCAGCAAAGAATCTCTACCTAAAAGATTGAACTTCCAAATTTTCGGCGTAACCATCTGCAAAAAAAGAAAATTTTGCTCGATCTGGACAATATGATTACGAAGATTTTTTTGACCAGGAAGACACGTTGACCGTAATTTTATCACTCATTCACAACACTCTGTATTCGCCGCACTTGTTGACAAGAATAATGAGACTCATTAGAAGTCAGCGCTGGAACAATTATACGAAAAGTCCTAATTGAAAGCTTAAGATCAAATTGTTTTGCTAAACCATTCCTGAAACAAAAAATCATACTAAATTTTTTGTTCAGACGAGCTGGAATCTACATTACTCCTCCATGCTTTGAGTTCCTCGGGTAATTACAAAATAGACACTATTCTTCATCAAAATCGTTCTTTGAAACAGCATTAATAGCAAATTTTTGGAGAGAGATTATCCGTGAGAGGCTTGGAACCCGAAAATGCTTACCCTTATGATGGAAGAGGAAAAACCTGCCATCTTGTGCTAGAGGTACAAATTATCACTGTGCAGCCTGGTCGAACAAACATTCAAAATTTTCATGTGAAATTTCATAGAAAAACACACTCTTTTGGAATATAGCTGTATACATCAATGACTCCCTGGAACTATCTCATGATGAACAAAATACGATGACATGGTTAGTGAGCAAAGGATCTATATCTATAGGTGAGTGAGCGTTGAATCTAATTCGGGTAAAGCTTGACAAGAGGTGTTGAGAAGAGGAGTGATGGATAAATATAAGTGACAACGGATATTTTGAGCTTGAGATGGTTCCTAGGCATAGCAAAGTTGAGGTTGGCTGAACGCTCTTCTGTACTGCCAATCCGATGACACTTGATTCCACGAGCTGCTTCGGCTTTTATTGTATCTTGCTGGAACGGGACGATCTCGGAGTCTCTTCCTTAGTCGCTGTTGACTGATGCTCGAAGTTTTGTGCATTCTGAAAGAAAAGAAATAAAAATGATTAAATGGAACATAATTTGAAACCTCTCTTTGTTACTAGAGGATCCACAACAAGAAATAATGTTCAACTATTTTATGTTCTAATGAAAGTGCAAAGTTTACTGGAATCCCAAAAACTTCGTTAATCCTTTTTTACTAAACCACTATTCTAAGAGAAAACTTTACTTCACATTTAGATATAGATTTAGGTCTGATCTTAAGCTCTTAGTTTTTAGAGCTCAGCTATATAGCGATCAAATGGAACAGAGAAGCGATCTACATTTTTTGATGCAGTAAAGACAATCAAGGCAGTGTCGCAGCTCCGCGATGCGAGCGCTCCTAGAAGTAGGAGGCCGGGAGCACTGGTTGCTGCCGCACTATTCGGCGACGATCATGATACTTCCTCACGCTTGCCGCAATCGCCTCTGGACCCCTGCTTGCCTTGGCGCGTTGCCAGCCAAAAGGCTATGTATAGCGGCGGCGCCTCATTGCAGCGTCTTTTCGCTTTCCTTTTCGATCGATAATCCTTTCTCATATTTTCTATCGTGCTTGTGCCTGGCAGTTAGCTCCCGCCTTTGGTGTCATTTTCGCAGTAGCGGTCGAGCGGATCGAAAGTTATGTTGGAGTTATACTCGTCCAAAACCAATCCCAAGTTAAATTTATGGCTGATTTTGGACGAGCCGCTCTTGGAACTCTTGAAATTTGGAATATTAAGATCTTATGAACTTTGGGAGCGAAGAGGCTGTCGCGCCTGTTATTCGGCGACCGTGGCGGATCCGCATAGGTGAAGCCTCGGGAGCATTATGTTATTAGATGTTTTGTACGCGCACCATCGGTAGCACGAGACGGGTCACCCTGTCTCGTGTTGGGATATCTCTTTTTAGTAATTTATTTGAGTGGTTTTTAGTATTGCAGTGATTATTTGTTTCTTTTTGATTCATTACGATAAACTGTAAGTAATTTATTATTATTTTTTTGCGCGCTAGGTGAAATGGTAGGCTAAGTTGCGTCATATGTATTAAGCGAGCGAGCACACAGGTATCTTGGGTAGATCTAAGTGCTTGTCCACCAAACCGCCACAGGCAGCAAACCTTCTGGAGTACAACGAACATCCACTCTACACATCAAAAACGAGCAGAAATTATCGATTGATAAGCAAAAAAGGTTTTTTTTAAAACCTCGTTAACTGGTCACTCCCTTCAAAATTTGTTAGTATAAATGATAAATTGCCTGTCTTGTAGTCGGAAGCGAGTGATACAGAAGAAGATAAAAAGGGCTCAAACAAAGAAAATTTGCGAAAAGAAGAAATCAAACTTTAAAATTGTCAGCTTTTTTCAACTTGTTTTCGTAGGCTTCAAAGTCTCAAAACATGAAGTTTTCCGATTTCCTGCGTACTGAAAGCTAAACGTTTACTGCCAATAGAAAGCCTATTGACCTTTACGCTTACAAAAATGAGCAAACTTTGGAGATTGCCTCCTTCAAAAGAAATTTATGGGACACAGAATGACCAGAACGACTATCCATTTTGAAGCGCGGAAACCTCAGTCCATGTAATTTCTAGGAAGAAGAGTTGATGTAGACCATTTCTATAACATACAGTAGCTGAACTTTCGAAAAAGTGCCTTCATTCGCTTTTAAATTCTGGTCAGAAAAGTATATACGTTAAATAACTTTGAGTGCGATTATGCGAAGCTCTGTAAATTTTTAACGGATGAGGCTAGAAGCTTGTTTCAACTATTAATGGATAGTGCATAAAAAGAGCTTCTTGATTATCCTAAACCTTTTCCACAAAAGAAAGTTTGATGGAAAAATGTTGTCCTGGAACCAGGGCTAAAAAACGCTTTTGCACTACCCAGTAATACTTTGTGCTTAAGAAATGGTCAGAACTTAACCCAACCGTACCAAACATGCTGTATAGCATCGGACTCGGCTTGAAGCGCTGATCACAGATCTGTGTTTATTATCTGCCAAGCGACTACCTGGGAGGAGTTTTGAGTGCTCAAATGTGCGATTTCAAGTGTTCTGTGGCGCGTGTTCCACGAAAGACGTTTCAAAAACACTTATCCACGTTCTTGGTAAATGTGCTTCTTCCTTGTAGTTGAAATAACCATAGCCACTGTAGATCTGCGCCATCAAGCTGCCTTCAAGGAAATATATTCGTCGAAACTCGAAGAATTTCTCATCTTCGAACGCTCATAACTCCCCCAGATATTTTCTTGGCAGATAAAAAACATATATTGGAATTCAGCATTTTGAGACGAGTCCCATGATATACAACTTCTTTGGAATAGCTGCGTTAAATTCTAAACATTTTCTGGTTAGGAATGGCCCTAACATTGCAATGCCCTCTAAAGTTGTCCAAAATCTGCAGGTACAACTTACCGTGGACCTACAAAATTGCAATTACATGCTCAAATTCGACCTTCTCTTTGTTCCTTCACCTACAAGTCCGCAGTAATTACTATTTTAAATCACCAAGGTTTATATCACTACATCAACAAATTATTGAATTATTATTCACATCGATAATCTAATATTTTGAGTTGTTTTGAAATAAAAAGTTTGCAATCTTTTCTCGATACTAAAGTGACATGTTATATAGTTCCAAATTCTATAAAATTATAAAAACAGTATCGAAGGTTTGAGAACTTGTTATCTGGTTGCTACATCAGGGTCCGGCACAGATCGTCTAGAAGCAGGCTGGACTTCGTTTTTGGAGCAAAAAGCAAAGGGGATTTCGTTTTTGACGAGTCGAGGCCGAGCACAAAGAATAAGCGCCATTCAGTCGAGCACAAGCTTTTCGAACAGGTTATCACACGGTTGACATGCTCTATCGTGTATGGCAAAAAGTGCTCGCGATTTGAAGGCAAGGCTAAAACAAACAAATTGCTTGTTTATAGCGCACACAGAATCATATGACATCAAAATTAAACCGTATACATAGGAAATTATTTGCGGAAGAATTATGTAGAAAGATTTGAAAACTTATGCGAAGTAATACCTTTTTTAAATCTAGATCGTCTCCAGACGGCCACCAGACGATGTGAGATCATCTGGAGCATATAGTTTCGTCACTTCACATAAGTTTTGGATCTTTTCAGCATGGACGGATGTCCCGGCCAAACATCTATCCCTGAGCATAGAAACATGTTCATATCACCCCCTTCCGTCGTTTTTTATCCTTTTTTTTCGAAAATCGCCTTATTACATATCGCGCCCCAACGTCAACCTCCCTTTTTCATCTTCTCCTTTTGAATTTTCTTTTCAGTTCTGGTTTTTTCTTTGGGATTTTGATGATTTCTTCCATTTTCTTTCATGTTTTTCTTCTTTCTTCAGCCCATGATCTATTTTGATCGTTCTGTGACCATGTAGGACTTTATGAAGCAAAATTTTGTGGATTTTGTGGTTTTTCTTTAAGAGTTTGACCTGAAATCGCGAGATTCGCACTCGCAGCAGGTTAATGGTTTTGTCAAGAACTAAGTGCAAGGATCCACCAATCGGAGGGGGGAGGGGTAGAGAAAGGGTCAAAGGGGACTTCGTAAAATTTTAAAAAATCAGGGGGACTTCGTTTTTCAAAAGCCTAAGAACGGACTCGTACCGGGCCCTGTGCTACATTCACTCTATTTTGGAACAGTGTTGTTCCTCAGAGTAAGGGAAAACTTATCAAATCTGGACTCCCTCACTTTTTTCGCGCAGACTATGTTTTCAAAGTTCTTCTCATAGCTCTAGTGGATTATACACAATGCACTAGAAAATGACGAATGGGCAAACACGACAGTGTTCTCTCGTCAGGAAACCATTGTTTTGTAGAACAAACCTTCTTTCCAATTCGTCAACTGGAGTTGTAATGAAATCCCACACATCATTGCGAATGAAGCAATTAATCCATGTAAAAAGTCGCATCACACCAAGTACCAGTGCGAAAATTAAGGATTCTAAAAAAATTGAGATAAGCGTTTGGAAAGATCTTGATTGAGTAACTTACGATCTTTTGCCTTGGTCTTGTTAGTTCTCTTGCACTGGGAACTGATCATATATTGCAAGCATAGCGGCTTCTTAAGAAACCTTAAAAGAGCAGGGTGTTTTCTGGCTCTAGATACCTTCTTCGTGGATCTTTTCCCTCGTTTACTTGACCACATAGCTGTTGATGCTTGCCGAGATACAAGCATATAATTATGAAACTCCTTCAACATTTTCACTTCTTTTTCTTCGAAATGTTGAGGAGTTTAACCTACCTGCTATGGAGTTGGTATCCTAGCAGATTTTGAATGGATTAGACGAAATTATCAAGGTGTTTCGACCGGCACTTTCTTAGGTATTCTTCAGTTGCAGAAGAATGGAGAGATAAGTTTAACTACCTACACGAAAGAGGGACTTCATGAAAGTGCTTGAACTGTTAGGCACATCTTAAGTGACAAAACAACCAGATAATCAAATTCGATATAGTCAAGTCAACAAACAAGTTTGGGATTTTGAAAATAAGCTTGAAAACTGAAACTTTTTGAACAGGGATAGGAAAATCACTAGTTCACGTGAAAAGAGAAGAAATTGTTATTCAGTTGTCAATATATTTTGATGTAAATTTTCAAAAATTTAGGTAATGGAAATATGAATTCGAGCTGTCGGCTGTGTAAATTTCTCTAAAAATTCAAGCGATGAATTCTACGAATACGAGAATAGATAACCAACAGTAAGTCCACTACGAGTTTAGGGTTGGATGAAACTACCATGCAATTTTTCCAAGTTTTTTCAAATATTTATTTTGTTTTTCAGAAAACTCTCACGACAATTTTCGTTGGAAATCATCAGTAGTAAGGAAAGGTCACGCATATGTAAGTAATTTTCTTGTATTGAATTAGTATCAAAAATGGCGCACTTCGTCTTATTTTAGAAAATTTTACCGACACAAAACGAGTCCGAAATTTCAAGCTAAAGTGGATGTAATGCTGATACTAACAGAGAAGGATTTTTGAGTTTGGGCGATGGGAAGAGAAATGTTGCTTGCTTGAGAGACACAGCGCATTTCATAAATGTAAAGACAGAATGAAACATGAGCATGGGAAATACTTTCTCTACTAACAGCTACAAGCACCTGGTTTGCTCCAGTAATTTTAGCTATTGAATTTTTGCGCTATGTTGAGTGTTAGCTGTTTTTTTGTGCACCGTTAGCAAACATAAGCGCTGGAAAGCTTTCTCCCCATACGAGTGTATTGAAAAGCGTATCGTAGGATAGGATAGATTATACTTACCGTAATTTCGCCATCGTATTGTGACCCGCATCGACTTTTGGCGATTTGTTTGGTGAAGTAGTATTGATGATGGTAGTCGTTGCATTGCGTTGCTTTCGATGGTGCATGATGCGACGTCGTTCGATTCTAGAGAATTTATGGACGAGTTTTTCTTGCTAGGCGACGGTAGAAGTACGATTCGAAACTTTACGAAGCGAAATTTCGTATGTTGACAACGGAACGGCTCAAAACACATGCGCATCTGTGACCAATCTCAATCCGCACATAAAAAACACTCGCAAAAGCAGTGCTGAGCAAAATTTGCTAGACTAATTATAGAAAGTGGCAGAATTACAGAAAACATTTTTTTTGAAATCTGAACAAGATCGATGCAGCCGTGATAGCAGCCTCGCAGGGATGGATAACTCTTATCAAATAAATCTGCGATCTTGTGCGGGATCTATGTTTGTTTTTCGGGCGCTGAGCGGGCGAATTCAAACACTAACGAAAAAATTCCCAGGGTCGGGAATATTTACTCTTTCAGGAGAGCTTTACCTATGCTTTTTCCATGAGAAAAGCGTCAGTAATCAACAAAAATTAGCATGAGATTATTTTAAAAAGTTATAGAAATCAGTGCGCAATATATTCCGCATTCCTCTTAACTTCCTCTCCCCTTCCCAATCCTTATTTTCCAAGAAAAGAAACTATCCGCTATGATTCATGCTTTTGGTCTTCAATTCAAGCGAAAAAGTTGTTCAAATAGTTACTTTTACAGGCTCAAAAATTTTATGAATCCTGGACAAAATTCGAATATAATCGTTATTACACTACCTTTGCCGACGCCAGCCAAAAAATCAGAAATATACATGTCTTTGGATGCAATGCGTAAACATCCATTTGCAGCCAACCCAGTGGTTACAACCGACCAAAAAAAATCCTACGAGTGTTTGCAAGAAATATCAAGATGTGGGCAAAACCTGGAGTTTTTCTTAAAACCGGAAACGTTTATAGAAGTTTCTCCTTTTCTATGCTTAGAGGTCAAAAACATGTGAACCTACAGAGCAAACTAGACTTTATTTTTGCAAGAGAGTTAAAGGGACGCTAAAAGGAAGCAAAGATGGAGAGTGATAACTCAACTCTTTCCAACCATAAGTTCTAGCTTGTTTCTGAGAAGATGATAGCAGCGAAAAGTGTGACTGACATGAACGGAGTGATACTATTCAGGCCTTTTTCAACTCCTTTTATTCTCATGCAGCTGACGCACTCTTTTTGTGTTCATTGAAGTATGTATAGTGAACGTATCTCAAGATGGTGAAATGATATCATAATGGCGCCAAAGCGCATTCTGTGTTACGGAATTCTCTCAAGTGAAGCCAATTAGATACTATTGTACTATATATTGCCATTTATAAATGGAAAAGCTAGAACTAATATCGGAAATACACATCAATGTATCAATTTGTCCCATGAATTCCGTCCGTTTTAACCTTTCAATCAAATTAAGTCATGAACTTCCTGATATCAAATAGGTTTCAAGCTATCATTCGATAGAGCAAAGCAAGCTATACAAGATGGTGCTTTTGCGTTTGCACCAGTTCAAATCCTTTTCGAGTGCGAAGCTACAAGCTTAAAGATCCAACCGCCCGAAAATAAAGGAAGAATCGTAAATCCGTCCAAAAAAATTCTAGAAAATTTTTAACTTGCTCACAGATACACTATCCACATCAAGCATTTATTTATGCTGCTGCTGTGTTTTTTCTTCGAATATAAATCGAAAAAACGAAAATATTCATGCTTTTGCCAGAGTGATGCTGTACTGTTCCTACATTGGTAGTTGTATACTACAGACCACTAAAAGTACAGACGTGAATATTCAGCTTTCTACAAGCTTTAGTTCTCGAGTAACATTTGAATTAGCCTCGCTTAATCGGGTGTCCCATACTAAAACAAATATTTCACAAGAACTAAAGCCTGTAAAGAGCTGAAAATTCACGTCCGTACGTTTGTTGGTCTGTAGTATACAAATCCAATGTAGGAACAGCACCACATTACTTTGGCAAAACATGAAATTTCTCGTTTTTTTTTGATTTCTATCTAAGGAAAAATACTGCAACAGAGTAAATAAATATCTGATGTGGATAGTTAATCCTTGAGCAAGGAAGGAACTTTCAAAGTTTTTTTTGGGCGGAGTTACCATTTGTTCTTTATTTTTCCGGCTGTTGGAGATTTTAGTCTTTGGCTTCAAACTCGAAAAGGATTTAGCGGGTGCGAAAGCAAGAGCACCATCATGTAGAGCTTGCATTGCTCTTTCAAATGGTACCTTTAAACCTATCTAGAATCAAGAAGTTCAAGACTTACTGCAATTGGATACTAAAACGGACGGAACTTCTGGGACAACCTGATGTCAAAGTAGCGCTAGTGACTGTGTTATATTCACTGTATAAAAGATCATTTCGGTATAAGTGTAATGTCCACAGTGTTCGTACCATAAGCTATGTTTCTGTTTGTGATAAAAAGCTATCACTTGTCTCGGGAACCGGACTCGGAGTCTTCTTTGATCTCAAAAATTTCGTACGAAGTCCCCTTTAATGCTAAACCATAAAAACGTAAGAAACCCTGAAAATAGGAAACGTCGACTCAAAAAAAACGTCGCATTTTTTTGTGTCTCTTCGGCCACAAAGACGATATCCCCTTTGCTTTTTGTCCCGAAAACGATATCCAGCTTAACCCGGTGCCAGCATGCCGGGCTGGTCCGGAATGGAAATATTACGAAAAGCTTACAGATAGCGTCGTCGAACATTCATTGAAAGATTACTGTTTAGACCGTGGCTAGATCATTTGACCCAACGATTTTCGAGTCTATGGTAAATTGCTTGTTCGCGGTAATATTTACTGAAAATGTTGAAAAACTGTTTCAAACTTGCACCTATTCATCGTTTAAAAACTTTCATAGAAAGTTGATTTATGTTTTCAGTAACGTTAAAGCATCTTGTTTGACTTATTAGAGTTTTGGTAAAATCAAATTTTTTCACCATAATTGATAAACATATTGAACCTGCTCATTATTGAGGTAAACAACCGAGTGATCGCCTTTATGGAGCAACTAGCTGCCGACACTGTCTCAATAATATTTGCTCTTTTCCACCTTGTACTCTTGCTTCAGCCCGACTACTGCAAATTTTCTTTATGTTTGATTTTACTGACTCCGTAATCAAGTGCAAGTACATATCGTCAAGTGGTGTGCAGAAAGTGCAATGACTAGAACGATAAAGATGAAATGTGTTCACTGTTGTAAAAAAAGATTAATCTAAGTGGCGAGCAGGTAAGCAGGTACGGTTATTCGAAATCTGTACAGAAAAAATTCAAAGACTACGAGAATTGAAATATGGAGACTGTTTTGCAGGAAAACTTGATATAAACTTTGAAAACTGGAATCCGATAAAATAAAATAGCAATAGTAGAATGACGCTTTGATAGGCCCAACTTCCACCGTAAATCTCATATCCCAAACTTTATTCTCAGCTTCCAAAAATCAACGCAAATTACTTGCAATTTTATCGACATGGTATTTCTCATCCATTGATCGCTTGTGACCCTTTCATGCTCAATCGTGGTGTTTTCATTGTTGGTTACGACACCGAGAAGAACAAGTCCTTTTGGATCATCAAGAATTCGTGGGGTCCAAAGCGGGGTGAGAGTGAGTACTACAGGTGAGCACTGCGTTTCAATAGAATTTATAATTTTTTGGGATTTCTTTGAGGTTGAAAATTAAAACTCAAGCTTTATCGATTAAGAACGTGTGCGGCGTTCAGGAAATGGCCACTTCTGCTGTTATTCGCTGAATTTGATACGTCTTGTGTTAAATTTACATTGTTTTGTTTGTATATCTAAAAATTGTCATTGCCTGGTAAACAATAAATAGAAATGTGCAATGTAAACACCCTTTGTTCACTTAATATAATCTCTTTTATCCAAAGAAGTCTTATAATGTTGCTCCCTCAGGTATAACAGCGTGAAAGTGATATCTTTGGCTTTCACTACTCCTGATAGCCACAAATGAGTGAAGTCAAGCAGTACAAATTGCCTCCGACATAAACAAAAACAGTCATAGGTTGAAACAGAAAACAATAACACCTGATTACATCTTTATAAATCGAAATATGGCTTTCACAAAACGGAAGAAAATACTTTCAAATATGAATGTATCACAAACATTAATGAAGTAAGTTACCCTGGTAGTGCTGAAAAGTCTTCTTTTCGCTTCATGCCATTCTGTGATCTTTTCTAGAGAATTCTCTCAAAGAAAGGGAGAAAGGGAGGAGCAAAACACCCAAAAAATTCACGACCCACTTGTTGACTAGAATGGACTCATCAGAAGTCAGCGCTGGAAAAATCATATGCAAGGAAATTATTTTTTCTAATGTGAAAACGTAAAATGTTGGCGTACGAAACTAGATATAAGCGAAAATCGGCAAGGGTGATGGATCAGTACACAGAAAGAAAATTGCTAATCTACAGTTTGCTTGGATTTATGTTTTGCTGTTTGAAAAAGATGATGTAAAATGTTTTACTAACGCGAACTTTGCACGACGCAGTCGCCTTCCAACTAATACACGATTCCATAAGGCTGAAAGACAACAGTACATGAGAAAAAAGTATTTGGAAGGAAAAATCGAGCAGTTGCCATGCCCTATTGGTGCAATCCTTTTTCCGTAACCTCCCTATCACATATTGCGCAAAGTGTATTTTATCCTAACGATTTTTCAATTCTAATGACTCAGACACTGCGAGCCCTCAGCCAGGAGTGATATGCAGCAATATGATGCCAAATGTTTCTACCGCTTTCGCGTATCGTAAAAAAGGGTTCAATCCAGTTTCGTTTTAAGTTCACAAATATAATTACAAATCCAGGGCTCCCTATTCAGCATCAATAAGTTGCTGCCTAATATCAGTTTGTAGCTCAGGCCAAACTTCCATTCAGAACTGGGATTCCATTGCTATCAAGGTCATAGATCTCTGTTTTCTCAAACAATTTTATTACCTGTGCAATTTACATGAGGTAATCTTCGTAATCCATCAGATTCAACCACAATTTCAACACTGACATCTCATCGTGAAGTCTAAGACCTTTTCAAGAAAGCCGCTACGATGTTACCACAATTTCTTCAAATCTGAACGCTTTTCCTTTCCAGTCGCAGACGCTTCTGAAATTTCTCAAGACTAAGTTTTGGCACAGCGGTCCCATTCAAACAGCGGTACCTCATCGTGAATTCAGAAATCTTCACATCAAATAGCTGCTACAATGTTGCCACAATTTCCTCCAATCAAAACGTTATTCCTTCTCAGTAGCAAATACCTCTAATATTTCACGAAACTATCTTTACCTAACTTTTGGCACAGCGGTCCCATTCAATCACTGGTACTGCATGTGATTCAGAAATCTTCACAACAAATAGCTGCTACAATATTGCCACAATTTCCTCCAACCTAAACGCTTACTCCTTTTCAACAGATGCTTCTGAAATTTATCGAAACTATTTCTATCCAAGTTTTGGCACAGCGGTCCCATTCAAACTGCGGTACCTCATCATGAATTCAGAAATCTTCACATCAAATAGCTGCTACAATGTTGCCACAATTTCTTCCAATCTAGACGCTTATTCTTCCTCAGTAACATTTTATCTAACTTTTAGCACAGCGGTCCCATTCAAACTGCGGTACCTCATCATGAATTCAGAAATCTTCACACCAAATAGCTGCTATAATGTTGCCACAATTCTCTCCAATCTAGACGCTTATTCCTTCTCAGTAGCACTTTATCTAACTTTTGGCACAGCGGTCCCATTCAATCATTGGTACTGCATGTGAATTCAGAGATCTTCACAACAAATAGCTGCTACAATATTGCCACAATTTCCTCCAACCTAAACGCTTATTCCTTTTCAACAGATGCTTCTAAAATTTATCGAAACTATCCCCATCCAACTTTTCGCACAGCAGGTCTCTCCCTCGCAATTTTTGAGCTGCTTTGCATAATCCACAGACTTCTTAGTGGAACTACCACCTGCTGCAACACATATACGCTTCAGAATCAAAGCAGAACTTCTTGATAGGGTTACTGCCCTACTAGGCATGGCCTAAAATCTAAGGTGAAAAGTATTAGCTAAGATCTAGCGCCTCATTAGCGCTCTTTTCCTGCACAACCACCGTTTCATCTAATATGGAACCGCAGATGACAAAGGAACAACTCGCTACAACCACAACTGCAACGTTGCAACGGGCTGGAAAGATCCAATCAGGTCTAAGATCTAATCTAAGGATGTTTCTCATGTTTCAGCTAGAAAGTCACAGCACTGACTAAAAGAATGAATCACTGAGTTTTTTCTCTCAATTCTACGAACACTGATTTTCCATAAATTTATTGCATATCTAAATGACATCTTGTGTATCCCCAACAACGTCGATGTAATCATTGTCATCTATACCCGATAAGGAAGCGTCAACCAACACGTCAGGAGGCCTTATTGTGACGTCTTCAATCTGATAGCTATTATCCATAGGTAAATCCACTCTCTGAAAGATAGTGCTGGATCGATAGATTAGCACATATAAATGTGAACTTACACTCTCTTCTTCTGGTGCGGAACTATCGTGATTGTCCACTGAAGCTGTCCTCTTTCGTTTTCTTATAACTTTCTTCATAACTTTCGCACACTTGTCATCTAGTGACTGCTTCATTTGTCGCTTCTGGTACGCATCAAGATCCAGAGGTACTGAAGCAGGTAAACAGATTTGTTGGCCACGACATGTTATTCACACTGTCAAATATCAAAGCGAGATCTACAACATACGCTGCAAAAATGAGATAATGAAGCTTGCTCTGATATGAAGAGGGACGGATACTAGGAGCAATACTAGGAGCAACGCAAACGCATCTGTGTTTTATCGGGAATGTCGCTGATTTGCGAAGTTTGAATCCCATACGCCACCTTGCTCGAACTGCGTACAGCGTCCGCAAACGTGTCCTTTGATCGCTTTTTGACGCACAGAAGTGACTAAAGCTCACCTCTGAGCAATTTGCCTAGGTGTAGCACACTGATGTGATAACACATTCGCGAACGCGCTGCAGTGCCCGAGCGAGGCAGCTGCGTATAATTCGCGCCACTAGAGTGAGGTCACTGCTAACAACACAAAGGGTAAAGCACCCACGCTTATTGGTTACGGAAACGCAAGTGATATACATGGCTTACAAATTGAGCAAGTAGCCTAGCTACGAAAATCATAAAAATAAAAGTAGTTTAGGAGAAAATTCTAATAAAATAAATAAAAGCTGGTCACCACCTAAGCTCTTATTTTGTGAAAGCTTATAAAGGCTGATCTATAACCAACGTCCGGCATTTTACATTTTTATTGACGCTTTTCTCTCTTTAATCTCACCCTGCGCTTTATTTTGATAGAGTGTGAACGCCCTGTTTTCGGGGCTTATTTGTGCCGTTTAATTTGAACGCTGAGAAGACGGAAAACCCAGAGTGGGAAACAAACCGAGGGATCAGGTGGGAAAATTATTACATTCAAATTTAGCATTGAAAAGGCGCTTCAAACTAATAGGAAAATGTTGATAAAGGAGCTTGTTGGTGCAATCATCCGCAATGAATTTTACTTGCATATTCTGTAGCGATAAGTGATGTTTTGAGTGGAATGTCTATCACAGCAACAAATGACAATGGGTGAATTATAAACGCTGCGACCTCAAGGATGGTACACATGCTTTCAAAAATTTCAAAATGGTGGGACTGGTTGAATAAGTTGCTGGAAGAATAACACCGCACCTGCCTCAAGTACTGTCTCAGAGAATCGCTCTGCAGGTACCTCGGGCAAGTCGTTGTTTGTTGAACACTTTTCGTAAAACTCTAACTTCGTTCTTTTGAGCACTGCATCCACCAAATCTTTCCCCTAAACATAATTGTAATAAAAAAACGGTACAAATTTGATTTAAGTAAGGCAAACCTTGCAAAAATGCCGTGCATTTAAAGGCTCATCAGGGTCTTCCTTGATTACATCGTTGTCGATAAGAACCAGTGGTATCTTTAGATTGTGCACATCCTTGTTCTGTGAAATCTTGAAAATCACTTACAACTGGAAAAGAATATCAACAGTACCTGTTTTTTCAATTTTGCTCGTATTTGCATACAATGCATGCACTTCCAAGATACTAGTCCTGGAACCTGAACTGTAGCACTGATTCGTCTGACATGAAAACCAATACCACCTTACCTTGAATCGTGAAGATACCAAGAACTCATACACCCTTCCATGTTCTTTCCTGCTCTGCCAAATGAACACTTTATTTTTTCTATGCCGACTTATGGCATACGTCGCTATGCCAAAGGAGTCTTTTGACGTTGATGCCATGTACTGGAATTCAAGCCAGGTAAAGGGTAGGAGCCAGACGACCAAACAAACAACAAGCGTCATGCACTTCAGACGATGAGAGTTCCAACAAGGAATTACACAAAATAAAACGAAAATTCCATAGTCACGACCGCTCATAAGCTCATCTCGCTGCCTTTATCTCAACACGTTTAATATCATTTATGTCAACTCACTCAAGAGACTCGAAACCGCTTTGCGCACATTGTCAAAACAAGCTTGATCGTGTATTCGACAAGTTTATTATTGTGATCTAAATCTAGGATTATTTCCATTTAAACTGCTCCGATACTTGACACTGGACCATTTGAGCAAATTTGGGCATTTTTGCTTCAGTTTTGCGTTCAATTTTTTGACCTGAAAAACGACCATAACTCGGCGTCCAGAGGCGCTTGGCAGATTTGGAATCATCGCTTAAAGGCAGCGTCCAGGCAAGTCTGGAGACATGGGGATCTCACATGGATAGTAATTTCAAGGCCCTAACTAAGTCACTGCCAACCGGCAGCTCAGGTAGTGCTCTAACGGCTGCGATATTCCCCTCGAAAGTGGACCCCGCGATCGTATTTCGAATGGATTCATGGCGCAAAGCGTGGATCCTGGCGCGAAACTGCCATGAATCCATGCGAATATGATCCCGGGGTCCAGTTTCGAGGGGGATATCTCAGCCGTTAGAGCACTACTTGCGCTGCCGCTTGGACAGTGCCTTAGTTACGGCCCCAAAAGTACTTTCCATGTAAAAACCCCGTAGGTCCAGATCTGCCTGGACGCTGCCTTTAAAGCTCTTCAAGGCAGTATGGGTCTCATCAGGAAAAGCCACTTCGACTAGACACGCTTCCCTTGTGAGTAGAACAAATGCCTCTTACTCTCCATTGCTTGCCAAGGCGAATTTGAAAAGTAGCGCAACTGCGAAGAAGTGCGATAAGATGGGAACGACTATGCATATGGCCTAAGTCACGCAGAATCTATGAGAAGTTTTTTCATGTATCGTGCACCTCCCTGAATTGTTTCCATAAAAAACATCAACGTTGGCTGCCTTTCGATCGTTCTAGCATGTTATTCCCGCAACTTTGAGGACAGTGTCCGGGGAAAAGCACTGGCACTCGGCCGATGGCGATGTAAGGGCAGCTAGCGGAATCGAGCAGATTGCTCCGGAAGCTGGGAGCGTGAATTTACAGTGGTGAAGACCCGCCCATGCTGATTTCCCTCCTAGGTAAAACCCTTTTTCGTCGTTTTCGCGCTTTCCAGCTGGATTTTTGGATTCAGCATGGCAAATAGGCCCCAGTAAGCAAAAAAATCTCAAAATCAGCTTTTTGCCCGGACACTCCTTTGAAGGCAGTGGCTCGGCAAATCCTCGACTTTTTGTTTTTTCGCTTACGTGGGATAATTCGACGTAAAATCCACTTTTGAGAGCGCGAAAATGGCGAAAACCAGCACTTCCCAAGGCCCCTCATTTTGAATTTGGCTCCGTTCTCATGTTTGGGGTGCAAGCAACCTTCCATATAAAGATTTCGAGATTTCGATTTCGATTTTGCCGAGCCACTGCCTGTTACTCAAAGTTGACATGTTGAAATGATCGAAGGAAGCCAAGTTAATGGTTCATACGAGAACAATCCTGAGGGATGCACTATAGAAGTTGGGAGGATAGCAGAAAAATATTGTAGAGCATTCTTAATGTGTAGAAACATGGAATACTATCTGAAGAGGAGCAACGGTCCTAAAGAAAATGCAGTAAACAACAATAACAAGCGAAGCAGAAATAATTGCACGATAATAAGTGGAGAACATGCCGGATCGAAATCTCACAAGTGATGGCTCATCTGAAAGTTAGTTTGCACGCGACAGACAAGAACAAAGAAATAAACAAAAAAGCGCGTGTCTGCAATATGACGAATGGACGCAAAACTGCGTCGGCGAGTTGTGCGGATAGCTCGTCCCCTGCGCTTTCCTCGTTTTTCCGTTTTGGGGAGGACTTCGACTGCAAAGATGGCTAGAATCACGTTTTTATGATGAAGACCTAGTCCTATTAATAGTCATTAGAAATCGATAGCCAAAGTTTGTTTATCTCTCTCAGTTCCACTTCAACTCGCTTCCCATGTTAGATGTGATTTATTTCCCTACTTGCTTGGTTGCTTTCTCTGCCTTCTTCACCTACTATGAAGTATTTACGGGACATTCCGCAATGTCCATACGTGCTGCATTGCGCACTGGAGGTTTAGTTGCCCTAGCTGGTGGATCCTTTCTTCTTGGTGCTCGATATGGGAATGATTCGCCTACACTCAAGAAGTTGCATGCCGCAACTGCTGTCTCGGTTAGTTCTTCTTGTAAAAGTCGTTAGGAGATTTTCAAACAATTCCTATCTCTTCAACCATTTCCTTCCTCTTTAGCCAATACCACCGTTGGCTACGTTTCCACTTGTTCCACCGGAGGGAACGAAGCCTTTGGCAGAACTTGGACCATCGCGAGCATCAGAAATAATGCGGTATGGGTATCCGGGATTTGATAACCTGCGAACGTTTGAGGATTTCGTTCTTTCTTATGATAGGAAGACGAGGACCGCACACTGGGTATGTTTTTTCATCAGCTTGCTTTCTAGTTCATGCAGTACTTATGTGAACAAGGCATTCTGGAACGTTCGTAAAAGGGCTCGGGACTGGGAGGAGTTGCAGGTGCTCTCCATCGACATTTCGATTAGAGCACCTCTTTTCAACTGGAGCGCACTATCTCCAAACACTTGAGCATCTGACAAGGAGTGTGTCAGGTATAAGGATGTACGGGCCTTATCCTGATGAGTGGGAGTACATAACATTCGTATATATATATATATTTATTAAATATTATTTACATAAGAGGGGAAAGTGGGGAAAGGGGGGGTTGCTGTAGCAACCTGCTAGCCGGCGGTCATCGGGGGTCACTGCCTCGGCTCGGGCTTTACAGCCTGCCCGGGAAGGGGACAGCTGCTGGTGGGAAACACCCGACATCTCCAATCCTTCGAGAAGCTCGTCCGCGAGCGTAAATAGCGTGTTCTTCCGGGTAACGTGCATTGTTGAAGTGAGCACGCGATATACGGCGAGAACAGTTAAATACATGGCATAGTCAGTGCAGAGTTGAGATAGAAAAGAGGGTGGATCCGGTGAACTGTGACGACGGGTTTCGACCTTCACCTTATCCTGGGGCACTGGGAAAGCTCGTCCGCGAGCTTGATGTATGCGAAGTAAGGGGTTGGAAGTTGGAGGAACTGCAACGAGAAGGCAGTATGCTACGGTATGGAAGGTATTGTAGCGTGTAGAACATAATGGTTGGGAATTGTATGAGGAGACATAGTGACGGAGACCGCTGAGTTTTGGTGATAGTAGATGATTGAGGGGACTGGAGGTGAAAAAGCAAAAATGGCATACTGTGGAGATGTAAGAATACATTGACAATTGCTGAGTAGCAGAAAATTCTTAACAGCTGAATTGGTGGAAATTGACGATATTTTCTAGGGAAAAGAAATAATGCCTAAAAATTGTACATTCATTAGCAGATACGAAATATTCGATTGAAATACTACATGTTCAGTATTGCTTTAACAGATATGTCTAATGTATAGTATTTAAAGCACATGTATATCAATTTTGCATGATTATGACAGTATAAATGCGTGTTCAAATGTTGAATTGGGCACTGCACACTGGTTTTTCATTCAACATAGGGGCAAAATTTGTTGTTATAGAAAGTTTTTTTTTTGAAGCTGCTTAGTGCAAATAGTTTCTTTGAATTGCCTGTTCAAAGAAAATTGTTGTTTCGTGCAGACGCGGCGGTGCGGCAAAAAAAAAAATGAGAGCAAACTAACCTTTGAGAATAAATAACTATTCATTGCAAAATCGAGTGTTTACAAAAATTTAGTGAATAGTTATTCGTTCTCTCCATCGCGACTGGGGTGTATTTCTAATGCTCTAAAAGGTTGTTTGAGCTGCAGACGATGAGATCGTCGAACAGGTTGTGTTGGTTCAACATTTTCTGGAGTTTCCATTGGCGTATGTGATATAGTGAGATTTTGTGGGGAAACTCTAGCCAATGTTGAACTATGAGAATAGATTTTGAGTCTATTCATATGGACACATTGAGTGTTAGTAGGTCCAATCAAATTAGAGATAGTGACATTGGGACGATCGACTTGCACAACCATAAAAGGGCCTTTCCACTGGTGCGTGAATTTTGGACGAACAGTATCGTCTCTTAGTAATACTAAATCTCCAGTGGAAATTTCCTTGGAAAAAACTTTATTATGGAAATCGTAACCTGACTTATACGTCGCTGTTTTGCTGGCGATCTGGTTGCCAACTTCCATAATTGTGGTTTGCAGTGCAGTGGTCAGCTGGTCCGTGAAACTATCAGTTGCGTAAGATATCCTCGAAGGTAACTGATGGACTATGTCGCACCAGGTAATCGGGTGACGTCCATACGCAACAAAATACGGACTATAACCTGTGGTGTCATTGATACTAGTGTTATAGGCGAAGACGATCGGCTGTAGGAAATCAGACCATAGTTCTTTGGCTTCTGCGCAATAAGCCGTTAGAGAGTCTGTTATTACCTTAACCATCCTTTCGACCTGGCCGTTCGCTTTGTGGTTGTAACTAGTAGTGAAATTGTTGGAAATGCCCAGTATGCGGTTCATTTTCACAAACATTTCACTAGTGTAATTAGAACCACGATCGGACACTAGCTGGTTAGGTATTCCGTGTTTGGCTATGACATCGTTTATCAAAGCCTTGACAACAAAATCTGTTGTCTGGTTGGGGATTGGAGTACAGATTATTAGCTTACTAAAGGCACAAACGGTAATCGAAATAAATTTGTTACCATCGATACATTGCGGTAACGGGCCGATTATGTCAGTATGCAATCGTTCAAAAGGTCTTTGAGGGATTGGGAATGAACCCAATTCCTCTCGAATAATGTTACCGGATGGTGTTTTTATTTTCTGGCATGTGGGGCATTTTCGTATAAATTTGGCAACTTTATTCTCTAACTTATCCCAAAAATATTTAGCTGAAATGGCTTTCATAGTTTTTCGTACGCCTAAATGTGAGCCTAAAAGTGGATTGGTGTGGAAAATTTCAATAATTTTATCTTGAAGTATACTATCAGGGATAACTAGTCGAGATGTGTTATGAAAAGTGTAGTAAAGACAGTCGTTATAGAAGGAATATCTGCCCAACGTGTCAGAAAATTTTGGCGGTAGAATATCTAATTCGCCTTTCAAAAATTTGATAAGATCTCCGTAAATGGAATTCTTTTGAGATTGCTGAATTTGGTCTAGTGTAGGCAATGTATTTATCTGCACTGAATTTGTACTCACAATCGGGTAGCGACTTAGAAAATCGCATAGGGTGTTGTGCTTTCCAGCACGGTACTCAATCTTGATATCGTACGCTTGTAAAGTTATTTGATACTTAGCGAGACGACCCACGAGGTCTGACCTATGCATCAAAGATTTTAGTGGTGCGTGGTCAGTTATCAAGGTAATGGAACTATTCGCGACATAAGGATAAAAGTGTTTCAAGGCAAAGACTATTGCCAGGGCTTCTAACTCTATGATCGCATAATTCCTCTCGTGTTTTGTCAGTGGACGGCTGCAATATGCTATTGGATGTTCATTAGAAGTCTCCGGATTGACTTGCAGTAAGCATGCGCCGATACCGATGGTTGATGCATCAGTATGAATTAGGTATGGCCGACCTAATGTAGGGGGAACTAAAACTGGTGCTTCCACTAAAGCACGTTTTAGAGATAAGAACGCTTGTTGATGTCAGGTATAAGGATGTACGGGCCTTATCCTGATGAGTGGGAGTACATAACATTCGTATATATATATATTTATTAAATATTATTTACATAAGAGGGGAAAGTGGGGAAAAGGGGAGGTTGCTGTAGCAACCTGCTAGCCGGCGGTCATCGGGGGTCACTGCCTCGGCTCGGGCTTTACAGCCTGCCCGGGAAGGGGACAGCTGCTGGTGGGAAACACCCGACAAGTGTCACCGGTGATGAAAGGTTGCTAATGTATGACTGTTGCACGGCTGCTGGTACGAGTCATGAGACTGACTGAGGAAGAGACGTGTACATGTTATCCGGTGAACTAGAGAAAGTTGTTGAAGTATGTAACGCAACTAATTACACCAGTGTGATTAGTCGCTGTTACTATTGCTTCCTCTTCCAACATCATCCTCCAAAACTTCAAAGTGATGCCATTTCTATATATGGCTATGGGTACACATACATACTTTACATCTCTATGGAATTCGTCTGTAAAACGTTATGTTGAAGAGCTAATGCTTCCTTTAGTATGATCGATTGTCACACGCACAGTTTTGGATTCAATTTGAACTCCATAAAAGTAAGTGATTCCAATGTACGTTTCATTTTATTGTTCGTTTCCACGAATTCTTATGTATGGCTGCTTTGTTTGTGGAGCTATACTTGTCGAGCTGTTACAGCTAGCATCGTTCGCCAAAGTTGGCTCAGAGTTCACATATAACTCAAAGGGTCATTTGTCCAATCTTCAATTTGAAGCGCTGCACAATGGTTTGACCCTTGAATAGGCGATAGTCTTAATGCAATTTACAAAGAAGGAATTACCTAATATTCTCTTCGACGAAAATATGTTACCGTACTCAATTCTAGCTGGTACGCACGACGCAGCCAGAGAAAATTGCTATAGTGCTTGGCACTCTAATAAAGCGACGTTATCAAAGTGGTTCAAAATGATTTTGTGCTTCAAAAGTAGCCAAGAACTCGTTTCTGTTCACAATTTCTGCTCAGGGTGCAACCAGATTCAAGTAAATTTTTTTCTGTGTTGTGCAATTTCCTTCTTCCACAACTCATCAATTCTACCCTGTATCGTTTGCATTGCCTTTGATGTTCATCAGTATTCGTTGATGGTGAACGAATCACCTAGCTTCATCGAGAAAGGCAATCGAGAGAACAGCATCTACGAACTCTACCAGATGCTATTATCACGTATAGACATCTGCGAACCCATTTTCGTGTAAACAACCAGAAAACGAAACTGTACAATCATAATAACCATTGAACCCGACGCACATGAGCGCTTCATGTGATGATAGAATACATTGTTCGTCAACTCCCTCTATTACCGCGAAACAGCAATGCCATCTCATTTTTAGTCAGTCTCCTGACTTTAGTGAGAGCTATGCATTGCAATAATACATCAACATCCTTTCATCACTGGTGATATAGAGTTTATAATATGGATATATTTGCCCCAAGCTTTGCTTCTCTGCAAGCGGGATGTTCAATGAAGCGAAAAGTCTCCTACTCGGAGGAGCATCAACGAATCAGGAAAACCATTTAACAACAGCGAAGTAGTTTTTGACTCTCTGACATAGCGTGTACGTTAACATTCCAAATTTTTACATGCAAAAGAAAATACACGTACTCATCGCCACATCTACGAACGGCGTCAAATGTGTGGGATCGTTCAGACCGCGCCGGAACCCGCCCAAACTCGCCCGAATACGTCCGAATCCGCCCGAATATTTCCAAACGCCCAAACCCGCCCAAATACGTCCGAACCCGCCTGAACTGCCAAAGCGCAGCAGGTTGCATGCAAATTGGCATATTGGAGCACGCGTGCGATTGATCCTTCTAATATCGGAGTAGTTGCAAACGAAGATCGGTATGTAACGTCGAGCTACGTGTGACTGAGATAATGCACTACGCGAGCATTATTCCACGCCTGCTCCAATATGCCAATTTGCCGCATATCCGCTGCGCTTTGGCAGTTCCAGCGTTCAGGCGGGTTCGGACGGATTCGGACGTATTTGGGCGGATTTGGACGTATTCGGGCGGGTTTGGACGGATTCTGGCGCGGTCTGAACGATCCCTGTCAAACGTGAAAATGTTTGGAGGTAGTGCGCTCCAGTTGAAAAGAGGCGCTCTAATCAAAATGGCGATGGAGCGCACCTGCAACTCCTCCCAGTCCCGAGCCCTTTTACGGGCGTTCGGCATTCTGACAGCTCCTGCAGCATACATAACGGGCTTTTCAACATAAGAGTCACAGCCTCCGCTTGCGCGGCTCCTCCAACGCAGCCGCCTCGCTCAGGCGCGCGCGGCGTTTGCGGCGTATCGCCCGCGCATTTTGCCAAGCTTCAGTCGACGCGCAACCAGCGCCACGAATGCTGCGCGGACCTAAGCGTGGCCCGAGCGGGGCGGCTGTGACACTCAAGTTGTAAAGCCCTGTAACTGTTTATAAGTGTCTGTGCATAGATTCGGCGCAGCTCAAAAGCAGCGTCCCGGCAAATGATAGGTACAGTGGTACAGAGAGAGTGCAGTGTGTGGTGAGGTTTTACACCGTTGCAATGAAGCGAAGAAGCACATTTGGGAAGCCCAACATCCACCCTGGAAGTTTTCCGGATCCCGCTTGCATAATCTTCCAGGGAAGCTGACATGAAGAACTTAGAAAAAGTCATTTTCACCAATCTCATGCGCTGCAGAGCCCACATATGGGTTCAGAATGATGTGAAAGCTCTGAAAAGATTACTGAAGAACGAAGTTTTGCAAGGACACTGCCTTTGAGATGAAAAAATATAGCTATGGCGTACTACCCTATTTGACTCCATTATTTCTCTCTGGTTTCCCAAAATTTGTACTTTGTTTCCTCAACAGTCATCTTATATATGTGGAAGCAGTGAACCAATTCAATGATCTTCACCACCATTAGGTTCACTTTTTCGCGCACAAATTGACCGCTACTGAGGTTTCCATGTTCTTTCAGAACCTGCTAGAGATGTTTCAAATCATAAGAAATAGGTCAAATCCTCCCATGTCATAATAAGCTCTTTTCACGCTTTCTGTATCATTTTTCTGATGTGAATGAGGCTATAGGTTTTATTCGGGTGGCTCTTTCTTTATTGCTTTTTGATTGGAATTCAACAGTACTTTATTCACTCAAGAATGTCGATCATTGTTGCCCAATGCAGTATCTAACATGGTATTTCCAGGTTTGCGAACACCTAACTCCGGCCAGGCTCATCTATGATAAATCTGTAGACCGATCAAAATGTGAATTTCGGCCAGATTCAAGCATTCACAAGTATTTCCAGTCGGACAACACCGATTACAAAGTCATTTTTTTCCATTTATGAAACCGTTAGAAGGACTGAGAAACTTCATTTTTAAGGGTAGCGGTTACGATCGCGGGCATCTGGCAGCTGCTGGAAATCATCGGAGATCACAGAATTCCGTCGATCAAACATTTTTGCTATCGAACATGAGTCCGCAAGTCGGTAGAGGGTTCAATCGCGATAAATGGAACGATTTAGAAAAGTATGCCAGGTAGGGTAATCCTATTTTGGGCTTCTTTTTCTACTTCTTCTTCACATTTTTGTTATGTTTTAAGGAAGGTGGCGAAAAAGAGTCTCAACACCTACATACTCACAGGTCCTCTCTATCTACCACGAAAAGGAGATGATGGAAATAAATACGTGAGATACAAGGTATGTTTTTGAAGTTTCGCCTTTGCATATGCGGTAATTTTGCAGTTCATTTGGAATGCATTATTACAATTTAGGTCATTGGAGCGAATAATGTAGCAGTGCCTACCCACTTTTTCAAAGTAATCCTTGCTGAGATTTCACCTGGCAATTTTGAAATGGAGTGTTTTGTTCTTCCCAATGAAGTAAGTTACATTCTCACAAGCCTCTTTATATCTCGTTTCTTACAGGTTCTTCCTGACACCGCCGAGTTGTCGGTATTCTACGTTCCTCTGGACATGATTGAGCGATCCGCGGGATTCCTGATTTTTGATAAGCTTCCGAGCGATAAGTTGAAGAAGGTGAATGGAAAGAAAATTGGCGGATTCTGGTAAAATCCAATTGTTCGTTTGTTTGCCAATAGTCTCTCGCATTGTAGTGAACAATAGAATAATTGGCTGACTCAGTGTCCATAGGTATATCGTTCAAAATTATGCGGGTTTTAAGCTGTAATCTAGACAACTTATAGAGATGAATATCTGATTATGATATGCCAAATACAAATCTCGGTACTTACTGAACTGACACAAAATCGCGTATGTTGTTGTAGTTTTTGCTACTTTATGTACGTTTGACTTTCTTAACCCTTCGGTCGCCTGATAACCTCCAAACTCATACCCTCTTGCCAATGATTCAAGTCTAACAGTTTGTTGTTGTGTTGCTTGATGTTTGATACTTATTAATGAGTTGTTATTTGTTTATGACAGTGATATTTGTCATACATCATTTGTGGTGTTTGTTATGTAGTTTTTAGGATAGGTTCTAGAGTCCAGATAAATGTCTTTGCAGATAATGAAGCTTATCAGATCATGTTTCTTATTCGGAATCAGGGTCTAAAACCTTCTTTATACAGCTTACAGTATATTTTCGCCTTGTGCCCTACTGACAATAGCAAATCCAGGCACCAACTGAAGAGCAGTTAATCGAGGTTGAACGTAAAGTGTACACCGTGCTGAAGTCATGTAATTTATAAGGCACCAGCACTGGCAAGAATTTTCCTTATTTTTAAGAATTATGATTCTATTCTCCCTGAGGAAACATATCTCTTCTAAAAAATTTCTTTCATTTTTGTGCTTATTCTTTTTATCCGATTTTGTTCTATCTTTCGTTGCTGTGTTATATCTCCCAGTTTATGACGTTGTTTCTATCTAAATTGCGCAGATTCACGCTAGAGCAGAGATGGCAGCTCTTAAGCGTTTTGTTCTTGTTAGCGAGAGAGTTCGAGTAATATTGTCTACACTGTCAAATGTGCAGTGCTCGCTTCAGCAGTAGCCCAGGATAATAAAAAAATTAATCGAGTGCGTTATCTCCAGCCCAAGTTTCTCGCCTTTCCACCAGGCAACCGTTTCCACGCGGCGTGTTGCGGACGAGTTATCGCTCACAAGACGTGTCTTGGCTCTCTCATTGCTTCATATCTCACACCATCGCATTCTAGTCATATATCGCTTTCACTCAACGCTTAAGCTCTCAACCTTTTTGTAAAAAATTCATCAGAAACATTCGCATGAAAGATGGATTAATCATCTCGAGTAAGAAGACCGCCACTGCAATGTTCGCATCTATCCGTTATATGCCCAAGTCATTAGCTTTGACTTTATATAGAATATTTTTCCTTCATAGGCATGTCAGTCGATCGACTATTTGACGTCAAAAACTCCTTCTTTCTCGGACACTATCAACAATGTATCTTGGAGGCACAAGTAATCATTTTGTATCGAGTATATTGAGTTGTTCGGATTATCCCTACTTCAGAAGCTCGTGACGAAGGTGGAAGAGGAAAAACTTGCCAAGGATGTGTTTACATATCGATCCTACATCGCGCAAGGAAAAGCCTCCGTCGTTCTAAGTGAAATTCCAGAACGAACTGATAACCCATCGTTGAAGGCTGTGCGGCGTTTGGCCGAATATCAGAACGCAGCCAACAAGTGTGTGACTCATTCATTATGTTACGGATCTTATAATGCCCATCACTTTGTTCATTTTAATGTTTCCTCAGTTTTTTGTCATTGATCTGTAAACATTACATCATCAGCACATCGATTCTCTAAAATGTTGTAGTGTTTGTCATTCTGTCTAATGTTTCACAGGAAACGAATAGCGAATCAAGTACAGACTGAAGTTTCTGAAGGGACCGCAGCGACCGATGACACATCATGCATTGTTGCGGCTCTTATTCTGAACGAGGAGGGTGTAAGTTGATCCTCTTGATTTCTTTACTAGAATTCGTTTTTTTTATTGGATATTGCTGATCTTTCTTACCGTCATTTTTAGAATCCAGAGGACGCCATGCGTATTTTGGCTAAGAGTAGTTCGCTAGAGGCTCGATCGGCTACTGTTTTTACTCTGCTGCAAATGGATCGTGTTGACCTAGCAGTGTTGGTTTCTTTTGTTAATTTGATTTGCTTTTGCAATTTGAAAATCAGTGTAACTTACGAATCTCATAAAAATCAGAAATACTTGAAAAACTTTGTTCAGTGGGCGTGCTCCCCCTTTTCTCATATTTTGAGTGTCATATGTCATAGGCCGCGGAATACCAAAATGCATAACGTTTCTCAGAGGATATGGCTATTGCACACTCCTCCATGCGGAAAACTGTCCACCCTCCACTGAATAATCTTTCGGAAATCCACTGCGTTTTAATACTATCTGTAAGAGAGGTGCCAGACTTATCCCGTTTAATCAATTCGTCTTATTCATTCCATTCGTTATTGGTCAGTGATTTGACCAATAGCGAGTGGGAGGACCCGCTGAACCGCTTGCATCGGATAAGTCTTGCACCTACCTACTGAGCGAAAGTTTCTGCAGCATCAGTGTGGACTTCGTTATAATCACAAACTTTGTGACTCGATCTTTCTCGAATTCTTTTTCGTAGGCACAGAATGACATAAATTTTGATAAATGTACGATGCGATTTTTAGAAATTGATTGCTCCATTTTCAGCAAGGAATTGAAGAAGATGAATGAAATCGATGAAGATGCCACGTTGACACAGCTAGCCTTAGCGTGGGTGAATATGGCAGTGGTTAGTTGGCCACATTATGATCTTTTTTCTTAATTTTCTTATCATTATCTTGAATTGAAAGTAGTGGTGAAAAAATGATGCTGTAATCGACTGAAAAGCTTGCTCGGAGGTGTATAGTGGATTTTTTTGGTGGACAACAAAATAAACTTTTTCTGAGCTTCTTTGGTACTTGCCGCGCTCGCCTTTGAAGTTTTTATACTGTATACACGTGGTCTTCACCCCGCCCTTTCCACATCACTATGAAAGTTGGATTAGCGAGCCAAACCCATGCTCTTCGTCATCTTGAACGCTTTTGTGCTTCGCTCAAGCGTGTCATATTTTAGGGAAAGGATAAACTAAAGGACGCATACTACATCTATCAAGAAATGATGGACAAGTATGGACAAAGTCCGCAGCTTCTCGTTGCACAGTCAGCTGTTCTGATTCTTCAGGGCAAGTATAAAGATGCAGAAGCTCTGCTTCATGTGAGTCATGAATCTTTCTTAGCTGTGTTCAGTGAATTTTTCTGAATGTCAACAGATTTTTAAAGGAAGCTCAACTCAAAGATGCAAACAACAGTGAAGCACTTGTGAATCTTGTTGCAGTCAGTCAGTTCCTCGGGAGAGATAATGAGGTAATTGGTATCATTCACCAAAGAACTCCGAGCTAGACAAATTTTATAGGTCATAAAGCGATACATATCCCAGCTGCGTGATATTGATGGCAAACATCCATGGATTGTGGACTTGGAAGCAAAAGAAGCTCTTTTTGATGAACTTGTGTCGGCATAATGCATGGAATTTTGAAAGTTAAATTATGTCTATCTGTGATATAACGTTGTCGTTTTTTTAAAGCAATGGTCAAGGATGTTTGCGTGGATTTTTCGAGATATTATTTATTGTGCGGTTTTGGAATATCGGATTTGTTAATTATTGAATTCAGATAAAAATGTAAGATATGTTTGTCCCATTCAAAGGATACGTTTGGATCGTTCGTAATTTTTTGCCTTTTCCTTTGCAAAAATAAACTCAATTATGAATCGCGAAAAACTTTCCGGAGATCGCATGGTTCAGAATTTTTTACTTTTTTATTTTCCACTTTGTAATAATAGATAACGTGGGCTTTTTTTATGCAAAGTCTTTTCTTGTTTTTGAATTTGATTGTGCAGGAGGATGCAGTTGTACTCGTTCTTCTTTCTTCCAGCTCTAAACTTCCTTTTTTCGCACAAAAAGAAAGACTTTCCATTTCAGTTATGACTCGGGTAACATTTGGATGCAAGATTTGTGGTGATTATAAGAAGATCGCAATGGGACGTTGGACGTCTCATCAGCCCCATATAGTGGTTATGTTATCAGCTTTAGCACATTTTCATGGCTTAGATGTGAAGGATATGAAAGAAATATACAGTTCGTTTCGAATTCGACGACTAGTCTGCAGGGAGCACTATGTGGATGCGGTATTTCTATTTCGTACCCTATCTTTTCTTTTAAAATTTACGTCTTTTTGAACAATCATTTTTCTCCGTATAAGAAGCACATGCTACTACGAAAATTCTTTATTTTGCTTTCGGTGGTCAACTCTTTTCTTTGCAGGCATCCTCCATTGCTGCTGCAATAGAAGCGCATACTGGCTCGTTTCACCAGTGTGGTATAAATGTAGATGATGGAATAACAGAGGCATCGTTATTGAAATTATTGCCTCCAGTCATCCTAAATGATTTGAGAACATTCGCTAAGGAAATGGATGTGGGTTACACAGTCGTATTTGAATCCTCTTCATTACTTATCGTGTTTGGGACCGGACTTTTAGCATATCCTGTAATCTTAAAAATCCGTGTTTTTTGCGGTCTAAAAACAAATGTAAAATGCATTAACAGGCGAATTTGACATTGACAATGCGAAATGTGGCGCATTTCGTGAACGATGTACTCGCGCGGCATGGTCTTCGTGGAGTGAACGCCGTTACATCAGCCAGAACAAATTATATCAGTGTACCTGTTAAAAAAGAAGTGCCGAGGAAACGAAAGAAGATTGATGATATAGCAAACGTGAGCCTGTTCAAACTTAATACGTTTTTTCTCCCAATTTCTTGCTCAGCCACTCCATTTTGAAACCTTGCTTTGTCGGCAAACTCCAGTGGAATTTTTGTAATCATTTTTGGCTCCTACCTTTTTTGGTGCTTGTATGGATTTTTTCTGAGCGTTGCATTGTTATCCATATCTTCGCTCCTTTTTTTGCTTCAAGCGGACTAGTTGGCTGAAGCCAGCAATATTTGTTGTTGAAAACACTTACTTTTGTACATAGAATGGAAGGATATTTAGGGTTCCTTACTAATTGCGTTCAGAGTGTAAAACCAGTAGCATTCTGCAAAGCGACCATTTTTTTGCAGTTGGATATCCCAAAATCTGGCTTGTAAGTCTGCTTTTTTGACCCAGACAAGCCCGTCTTCGGTTAGTCCGCCTACAATATCCAATTTTTTCCCAGAACTACCCCAAAATACGGCATGTAAGTCCGAAGCGGCCTTATTGAATTATACTTACTTAGATACTTAGATGGCCCGGCTTCACGTGACGTGCGGGCCCCAGCTCAGAAGTTTCTATTTTTCCCTGTCCCTCGCTTCTGACATCCACGATCTTCTTGGCTGACGTCGGTGGCTGCGTCCACGAGTTCCAGGTGCAAAAATCGTATCCAGCTGATTTCTCAGCTGGTCCATCCGTTCCACGAACACGTCTGCCCATCTCGTTGGAGGTCTTCCTCGGGGACGTTTGGCTTCGCGAGGAATCCACTCCGATGTTCTTAGCGTCCATCTGTCGTCTGTTCTTCTCATTATGTGACCGGCCCATCGGTGTTTGGCTTTCGCGACGTATTCCGCTGGGTCGCGAAGACGGGACATTCTTCTCATATCCGTGCTGCGAAGTCCGACTAGATGTTGCTTGCGTCGGGTCATCTTCAGAAGACTGCGCTCGAGCGCTCTGTGGGTGGTCCGTAAAGCTTTCGACGTGGCTACAGTGTCGGCCCAAGTCTCAGCTGCGTAACAGAGCGCCGGGAGAACGGTTGAGTCGAACAGGTGGGCACGAAGCTCCGGGTCCGTCAGTTGGTCGGTGGCTTCCTTCAGGGGCCCGAAGGCGGCACAGGCTGCTCTTCTTCTCCTGTTGAGTTCTTCCCTCAAGTCGTTCTCCATGTTCATCGAACGTCCGAGATACACGTAGGAAGACGTCTCCATAATCGGGGTGCCTTCCAATTCCATTTCTGCATCTTCGCAAAGGGCGTTCTCATGAACTGAGTCTTCTTCCGATTTATTCGCAGTCCGATCTTCTTCCCTACTTCGTTTAGTTCCTTCAGCATCGTCTCTGCTTCGGTGATACTGCTCGAGAAGAGAACGATGTCGTCCGCAAAACGAAGGTTGGACAGGAATCTCCCATCAACTCGTATGCCTCTCTCGTCCCAGTCCAGTGACTTCATCGCCCACTGCAAGGCCGCGGTGAACAGCTTCGGCGAGATTGTGTCGCCTTGTCGGACCCCCTTCCCGATTGGTATGGTCAGGGGGCGATGGAATAGCTGCATCGTCGTTGTACAGTCCTTGTAGCAGTCGGCTAACGTCCTCACGTAAGCTGGGTCCACTCCTTGATCGACTAGCGCAGACAGGATGGCGTTGGTTTCGACGCTGTCGAAGGCTTTCTCGTAGTCGACAAAGGTTAGGACGAGAGGCAGTCGGTACTCCCGGCAGACTTCTATGACCCTCGAAACGGTCTGGATGTGGTCCATGCAGCTGAATCCTTTGCGAAATCCAGCTTGTTCTTGGGGTTGGGCTTCATCCAGTGTCCTTGATATGCGAGCGAGGATAATCTTCGTGAAAAGCTTGTACAGCACACTCAGCAAGCATATTGGACGATAGTTCCGAAGATCCTCCCGTTCACCTTTCTTGAAGAGAAGGACGGTTCTTGACGTTCTCCACTGGTCGGGAATCTTCTTCTTCTGAAGGTAAGATGTCAAATGCGACGCTAGAATCTCGTGTAGACGGTGTCCTCCGGCTCGCAGAAGTTCGACGGAAAGATGATCTGGTCCTGGAGCCGTGGACGTCTTCATGGTCTGTATCGCGATACGCACTTCAGCAGGTAGAATTCGTGGTGGTACTTCTCCAGTGGGAACAACGGGCATCTGCACGGGTGTTGATGAGCGGAAGAGGTTGGTGTAGAAGTTCTTCGCGACAGATTCCATCTTGTATCGGGAAGAAGTCGGAGTCCCGTCTTCGTTCAGTAGTGCAGCCAGCGGTACGTGATATTCGCAGAGGTCCCTTCGGCACTTCTTGAGACTTCGTCTTCTTTCTGCTGCTTCCAGTATCTTGGCTTGCCTGTACTTCCTGAGATCCTCTTGCAAAGCTGTTCTGCAACTGGTGTTGGCAATCAGTCGCTCGAGATGAGTGCATTCGGATCCTGCCTCAATGATCTTCTTCTTTCGAGCAATTCCTTGGTGGTCTTCGAGATGCGGTCCAAGTTCTTCTCAGAAGTCACTGAGGCGCATTCTCCGCAGGCTCGCAATCCTTTCAGAAGCCGGTCGTAGTCGTACGTTGGGTCCTCCTCGATGGGCCAGTCACAACTTGATATGAGCTCTTCCAGCCTGTTACCGTCATAAACGACTTCCTTCCTTCTCGCGGCACTATGACAGACTTTCTTTTCCAGCCTTCGGCTGCGTCGTATCTTCGCTCGAAGGAGGCGGTGATCGGAGCCACTACAGAAGGATGGAACTACAGAGACATCGAGTAAGCTCCACCTTCGGTTGGTGAGAATGTGGTCGATCTCCGCGTGGGTCGTTCCGTTGGGCGATTCCCATGTCCACCGGCGATGTTCCTTCTTCATAAAGATGGAATTTCCATGGAAAAGTCGTGCGGCGGAGAGAAGCCCAACAAGCCCTTATTGAATTGGACTCACCTATAGACGGATTCATCTGTTAGAAGGCCCTACATGCCAGATTTTAGGCCAAATTTATTTCATTTGAGAAGTCTTCGCATTAGTAACTTTGGATGTTCTATGCTGTCATATCGCTTTGTTATATATTCTTCTAGCATGTGAAGAAGATGAAAGAAGAAGTTAGTAGTCCTGCCGAAGAGACCAAAGTCATGGTTGATGGCACAGAAGGGGGGTCATGCTTGACACCCACAATCGATGTAACAACATGTGATTCTCCACAAGGGGAAGAAGACGGTGTAGAGGTGAATTCTAGCTCTACATTTTTCGTCTTTTAAGAACTCAAAAATTTCAGAACTCTTCAAGTAATTCAGCTAATGGCGTGGAACCGTTTCACGTGGAACCGAGAATTCTGGACAAATTCTATCTGGTGCAGGGAAGAATGCTTTTGAAATTGTTTCGATTTTGTCCCAACTGTGGTAATAATCTGTCAACAAGCGAGCAGAGTACAGTCAGCTTCACTGCAATTGGAACTGCACCAATTGTGCAATTCATATGTAGCAATTGTTCTTCGTATGCATCTATGACACAACGATGGGATGGTCACCCTGTTAGAGACCGTTCGTGATTCTTTCAGAAATATTTAGTCATCTCTAAACTTAGCGCTGCTGCTGCTATATCTGTCATCTCGCAAAAATGCCATGGTGGAACATTATAAAGAGAGCATCAAATGTCAGTTAGCTAATTTGATTGTTGTACAAAAAAAATGTGCGCTATTGCATGGAATGTTTCATTTTATCTATTTTTGAAATCTATAAACACTGGTTCTTGTTTTAATCCACTATTTAGTTTGTCGTTGTGAAGCTGTGAGATTTCTTGCTCACGTATTTCAATTCTTCTTTCTGATTGTTTGAGATGAATATAGATTGCTGTAAGCGTTCTCTTTCATGTTTAAGATTGATTGCTCTTTGCTCTTTGTGTGTGACAAAGTCACTAGTAGTAATTGAATCAGTTTTATCACTTCTTTCGAACAAGGCAACCAACACAGTTATATGATTGATCCTCCAGATATGTTCCCACAGGTACCATCAACGTGGCGCCTTCCGATCATTTTGACACGTTATTCCAGCAAATCTGAGGCGCCTATTTGAAGCTGACATGTTAAAACGATCGAAAGGCAGCCACGTCGATGGTATCGTCTGCCCCCAGAGAGGTTCCGATAGGTACCACGTCGTCTCGCTGCATTTCGCACTTTTGAACGTGTTAAGCTCGGGCCCTTCCGTTGAAATCTCAGGAGAAACGTGTCAAAAGAGCGAAAGGCAGCGTCGCACCACGTACGCACGCTGGTTCACATGGGAACCTCTCTGGGGCGCAGACGGTATGTACATGTGGGAACATTCTGGGACATCGACACATCAACGTTATAAAGTTGCAAGATGTAGTGAAGCAGAGCTAACAGCTATCACTGGTCGCTTGGGCAGCATCTTAGTTAGGGCCCCACTAACAGCTTCCAAAGCCCCACGTGCGATGCTTGGACATTGCCTTTGAACGCGGCGTCCGAGCGCAGCACTATATTCTGGAGCGACGCAGGTCTAGATTATAGCGCGGTCTCTGACCACAGACTGAACTTTGCCCCAGAGGAATAATTAGCGAACGATTCGAGGATGGTTCGTTCATTACACAAGTTTTCTGGAAGAAGGGTAGGGGATAGAAGTGCTGCATGGTACTAGTGTTAATACACTAGCAACAATTAATTTAGTTTAGTAGTTCTACTCTAATGCAAACGTAGTTTTGAGCCTGATGTTAACTGATGGTCCCATCATGCTTACTTTTGCAAATCATGCATATTGTTATCGTATTTGGTGATTATCACGGTTTATAATTCAAAGCTCAAATTAGGGTACCAGACTTTGAGGTACACGCCAAAGTCGCGTGGCAACAGCGAACATTGTATAGGCGATTCATCGCACGCAAGAACTGCGGACGTATCGGCGTTTTTCCCATCAAGCCTCTTTCGTTTCTCTTACCGTTATCTCCTCCATGCACAACTATTTTGGTTGAACGCAAAGGCGCCCAGTCTTTGTGTGTTATGAATCGCCGATACACATCACAACCAAGCAGTCATTTTTTGCGGGACATGAATGTATGGAAAAACCGTGTCAATTGAATTAAATTGTGGACAGAACGGAGAGGTCTTTAAAATAGCATTTTCTACCCGCTTTATCATTCGAATCGAAATTTGGCGACGTTGTCATTGTATGAATGAGCTTTATGAGCTCGAGCATGAGATCCGGTTTGCCAGAATTGCATTGGAACCAGAGGAATGGAGCTAGAGCCAGCCTTGTTGGAGGTATCGAGTGAGTGTGTGGAAAGCAGAGGCGCAGAGGGGCAAAGGAGAAACGGTAAAGAAGACGAGGGATTTTGCTCTGGCTGGAACTCTCCGCTTGTTTTCAACAAAATCCCGAAATTTCCAACAACATTATGTATCGTTATCGTACAATGTATCTGTTCGGCCATTTGCTACGTATGGTGGCCGAACCGACCTATACACTAATCATCCCGCAGTAAAGCGGGCTAATTCGGGGGTCAACGGGGTTCTTCTGTTGTAAGCTTCTTCAGTGTCACAATAAAGTGTAATAGTTGCCCTATAGTGGCACAGTACCGTTCTGCTTGTCATGAATAACTAGAAACATTGGCATCGTCACCGAGGTCGAAAACCACTTGATAATGACATACCTCATTTCAAGCGGTTCTTTTTTTATTGAACACCATCAGTATTCCTAGGTTTCCGAATATCAGTCCACGAACCGTTTGTGCGAGAGACTTGTTGACATGCTAAAAAGATTCCTACAAAAATTTACGTTTCAATTCAAAAAGACTATGTGTTCAAAGGCGTACCTTTTATGCCTACTCATCACGTCACTAGCACTCCATTAACATTCACCAGTCAAGCTTTGACAGACTGTTCATTTTCATAATATTCTACGCTCCGTTCTAAGGCCCCGGACAGACTTCACGCGACTTAATCGTCGTAATCTAATCGCCAAGATTTCCATCCATTTTCATTTCACATTCAAAAATTTCTGGTTGGGAAAGTATCACAACCGAATGCAAGTTAATCGGCATGGAATGATGTTGTAACAGTTGTCTCGTCGCGATTCAGTCGCGACGATCAAATCGCGTGAAGTCTGCCCGGGGCCTAAAGCAACGTCAAAATTAATTTTTGATTCAAAACTATGTGATCATGTTATGGCAAGCAAGGTACCCCGACATTTTTCGCCTCCAGCGATGGCTAAAGCAGTTTAGATCTTTTCAGATTTGTAGTATAAACGCAGAGACGGCAAGGGAAATCAGAGCGAGCACTGCTGGGACGCCAAGAACTGTCACTGATGTCTCTGAAAATTATTTTACTTTACTTCAAGATTTGACCAACTTCTGAATCAAAAGATACGTTAGCAGACTGCGTCGAAATTCGTTTCGGCACCCTTCCAGCGCCGTGCTTCCACCGTGCCGAAAGGGCGCTGGCACGATGGTGGCACATGTGCAAGTCTGGGCGCTGGCATAGACGTAAAATACATCTAGCAAGTTATGGAGCGCTTGCATTAGGTTGATTTATCACTCACTCCATTATCGGTAGCTTCTTGAATATTCCACCAGTGAGCGACTGCTTCCGTTAATTGTATGATTTTGAGGCGGTGCCTGATGAACGGGGGCCACTACTTATCGCTGCATCTTCAGGCTTCATTCAAAAACTTTTTGATGAAAATATATTTTACAATGCTGACTTTGAATGAGCTCGGCATAGACTAGCTTGAAACAGTATAAAATATTGAATTTAGATAAACAACGTTCACATATAATTCTCCGGAAAAATGTTTGGGTTTTTAATCACATAGTAAGCTTTGGCTACATCTGTCAGCTTATGTTAAGTTCAGCATACGGGGACTCAATCTTTTTAGCTCAGCTTACAAAGATAACGAATTTTTTTGAATTTCTTACATATTAACGTTTATTGTTAACGTTTATTACGTTTATTTCTTATGAACTCAGAATTTTACCTAAAACGAAATCAGTTGATGATTTTTCGTATTAATCACTTGTGATCTGCAAAACGTGTACAGTCCCCTCATTTTTCCACATTAGCTCATTTTACTCGTCGCAAGGCTGTTTACTATGCGAAAGTGCCAATTTACGGCTCCATTTGCATCCAAATAAGCATGATTGGTTGGCAATCATCTATATTCTCATTATCCGCACAATGAGTGCCTGTAAACCTTCTTACCATCGTCTGAGCAAGTGTGTATAAGTATCTGAATGTCTTTCTTCAAATTTACCATTTTGAAGATGATGAATTTTTTGCTGGCAGGCAAGGGGTCGAACTTCACCAAGTTCGTACTATTTCGTCCTCAAATGTCCAGTACTTCCTTTTATTTTTCGACGACATAAACAAGGGCGATTTGAGTTGGGGTGATGTGAGCAATTTTATGTTTTGTGGCTTGGCCTTCCGTTAGCAAATTCATTGATAGTGGTCTATGTACATCTGTTGAATTTAAGCGAGAGACTTGCTTTCACTTGTAAGTGAATAATAATCAATCAATAATTGATTAATAACTTCTACGCTAAATATAAATCAACTCTGTGAGGGTTTGTACGGGACGGCTGACATCCTCTCCTTCTCTTTCAGGATTGTAAGCTCGCTAAAAGTTCGTGGACCCCAAAATTATTTTCCGAAGTCTAATCGAGGCGCGCCCTTTCACTTGAAAAAAGAGCTGCATTGTCGTCCCCTCTCCCTGCCCCAATTCAGACAATCGTAAAAGATGTTTCGGGGCAAACTGAGCTTGTAGGATTTCCGGGGAACACTCCTATTGGAGCTGTCAGGTAGGGCGGGGTCTGCGCCACACGGACCAATAGGAGCGTCCGCCCCGGAAGTCTCCGAAGCTCAATTTGACTCGGAAGTTTTCTGCGATTGTCTGGGAAATAGTGTTTTGGGACACTGTTTCATTCTCTATACTTTTTTTCTTATGTGGAATGCTTTGAGCGCACCGATTGAATCGAAATTTGAGAGAAAAAAAGATGAATTTTGCGATCCGAAGGAAGCACAGGGGTCTGCTTAGCAATTTCAAACAAATCCGGTTGGCTGTTGGAATAAGGAAAGTTTTTCTACCGGTTTTTATGCAAGCTCACAGTACTGAGTAAGCTGTTCTCTAATCAACTTTTGACGTAAAAACTAAACCTAATTTTCATGCCTATGTCATTCAATCAGAAAACTCACCTGTTTTCTAACAACTAGATGCAGAAAACTATGGCAACGGCGAACCTCATCAATTTGTGGCGCAATTTCCAGGTAATGCAATTGCTGAGATTCACACGCATGTAAGTTATTTTTTTCGGTTTTCTATGAAAAAGCACTTGTTTGTCACCAATGTCAGCGATTACACGATTGCTTGTTTTAAAAATATTGCAAAGATATCACTTTTGCGGTTATAAGTGCCATTTCCCCAATTTTTGTGCCACGTATTCGAAAAATTATTTTTCGAAAAAAGCTGTCGCAATTTCTCAAATTTCTCGATCCTTTTTGATTAGAGAACATCGGACATCACTTCCTTTCCCATTAGCCATAGAGAGGAAGTTTAAAGAGTGTAAGCCTATTTACAGTGCAATATCTTGATATTAGGTTGTCTCAAAAGTAAACCATTTATTTGATCGAAAACCAAAAAATTCTTGTTTTACTATCACTTGGGATATCACTGCATGGAGGTGGTTAAGATGTAAAGCAAGCTTTACATCTTAACCACCAAAGATCCACCTAAGTCGTAATCAGCATAAAATTTGGAGCCAAAAACTCAAATTATTTAACTGCTGCAAAAATTGAATCTCCTTTCAGGAAGTTTCTACGGACCCTCAGCTTGCTCATCATACAGTATACATATAGTAGTATTCA